GTGCATGTGTGCGTCTCCTGGCTGATTTTTGGCCGGTTTGAGGCCTTTTTGGGCCTGCCAGAGGCTTGAGGGAAGCCTCTGCAGGCTTTGCAGGTTGAAAAATAGGCCTGTTTTGTCACTTCCGGTATTTCCAGAAATACAGGAAGTGATGAAACGGGCCTATTTTTCATCCTGAAGAGGCCTTCTCAAGCCTCTGGCAGGCCAAACAAGGCCTCAAATTGGCCAAAAATCAGCTGGGAGATGCAATGCAGGTAAGGGGACGGTGGGGGTGGTGGGAATCATGCGCGCATGCACAGACAATTTTTGGCACAGGAGCCCAAAAAGGTTAGCCACCACTGTTCTATAACACATAACAGAATAACCGAGTTGGAAGGGACCTTGGAGGTCTTCTAGTCCAACCCCCTGCTCAAGCAGGAGACCCGACACCATTTCTGACAAATCAAACAGAGCAGATTTTGCTGCTTTGGGATTCAACAGGAAGAGACCCATGTGACTGACCAGGAATCACACCTCCACAAGAAGCTTTTGTGCTGCTTGTGGGGCTCGGGTGGTTTCTTCCGGGAGTCCCATTGGGGGGGACTGACAGGCTCTTTGATCATTTTCATCCACTTGCGCTCTTTTAAAGAGCTCTTTGCAAAAAAAAAAAAAAAAACAGAGGCCTTCACATTCAGATGAGGGGAATGTACGTTGCCTGCAGGAAGGCACAATCCAAGGCAGGCAGAAATCTTCCTACTACAAAAAAACCCACAAGCATTTTGGGTTGAGGTTCCAACCAGAAAGCTCCCGTCAGAGATTTCAAAAGCATTAGCTTGGCGTGTGATTCTCCAGCGGGCTAAAACTTTCCCCCCCTTTAAAAAAAAAAAGCATAGGTACATTAAAAAGTGCCTTTGATTTTCCAGCCTCTCTGGAGCCAAATTTTTAGCTGTCGTTTTTTTTTTTTGCGCGCAGTTTTGTAACCAGAAGCACAATTTTGCTCTACACCAATGGAGCAGAGCGTTTTAGGTCCTGTGAAAAAACCCGAATTCTCTCACGTAGAATAGGATTTAGGGGTAATAATACCTGGCGGAGTTCAATTCTTACAGGTGAATGGGGCAATTCACGAAAGAATGCGAGAGAATTAAAATTAAGCAAGTATAAAATTAAGCAAGTGTCTCTCTTGCTTAAGTGAATCCTATCCATCCCTATGAAAACTATAATAAGGAAGAGAATTTTGGATCTCTCAACCTGAGAAGCTTGAGATCGGTAGTGAAATTTTGGCAGCGGGAGTTGCTTGGGGGTCCTTGGTCTTTTACCCTGCTGCTTTCTAAATATTATTTCAGTTTCCTTTCTCCTTGCCTCCTTTTTGAGTGATGCTTCCCTGGGGAGATTAATTGAGGAGATCTACCCAAGGCGTGAGTGTTATCCTGCTGGCTTCGCTGCAGACACGTTGTCCCTGAGTGATGGACAATTGAAAAGTTTGCTTTAAAAGTTTTAAAATATGGGTTGGGGATGGAAGGCCAGCCATCTCTGCTTCCTTTGCACCTGCAGTGTATAAGCTCATAAATTAGGCCACGTTAATTTTACTCAGACCTCTTCTCTACTGAGGGCCACAGGAGAGAGCTTCTAGTTGAATGTAGAATCACATAGCGCTGGAAGGGAACTTGGAGGTCTTCTTGTCCAACCTCCAAGGCTTATTAAAAAAAAAAGGGCCCTTTTTTCAATGACAGTGATTTCAATGAAACGAGGGTTGAGTTGGGCAGCAGACAACAGTAAGAAGCTATAGCTGCCTTTTAATTTCTCCTTTCATTTTTCTTTCATCATCATTATCATCGTTATTTTAAGTGGCCTTAATCAAAAAAAAATCTGTCCAAGTTTGCGTTCCTCAAAATAGATTCTGCCAGATTCTTCTTCAGTCCCTACTGTGCCTTCTCCTTCTGATTGTTAAGCAATATGGATTATATAGGTAAATATATATGTATATATATATATTAATGCTCTAGTTAAGTTGCCTTTAAAATAATTTCTTGAAGCATTTGAGCATGAACCTATTTGCAGTTACTGTAAAGGAGGAAATTGTTTCTTCCCAGTGAAGTGATAGAATCTGAAAAAAAAAAAAAACCCAGTCCATCTGTTGTTTTTTACGTGGTTTTGATGATTTTTTTAAAAAAACTACAAGCCTGCGTTTTGTGAGAAGCAGATCTGCTTGTGCTTTTTAACAAGTCATTTCAATAAATTACAAAAGATTTTTACGAAGCCTGTCATGTCACTTGGTTGGGGGAGTCAAGCGGCAGCTTTTGGGGAACCCAAGGTGCTAACGTTGTTTTTGCTTTTTTTTTTTTAAACCAAAGTGGGGGGTGAAGAACACAGTTAGTTTTTCTTCTCTTAATGCTGACCTTTTGGAGGAATCTGACGAGAAAAGTGGGGCTAAGATTCAGGACCCAGTGAGATCCTTTCCTTGTTCTTAAATGGCGAATCCCTCTGATGTAAGCAAGCCTTGTAAACCTTTTGCCTGGGATGTAACTTAGTTTAAACTTTCATGGGCAGAAAAAAAGTGGGTGGTTTTTACATATCCCCCCCCCCCAAAAAATGGCATTCTTAGTGACCTGGAATGAAGTGCAAATCGATGGATACGCTGCAAAAGACTTAAGTCGATTGAAATGATAACATTCTGGGTTGCTGCTCTTTCTGGAATTCACATATTTTTATCGGTCAAAGCGGGGACTAAAACAATGAGATCCAGCCCAACTTTTGGGGGCATTTTAGTCACATCTCAGCCTTTTCAGTTGCTTTGTCCAGCCTCCTTTGATATCTCTGTTCCTTGAAGTACAGGCACTTAACAATAGCTCATTTAGTGACCGTTCAAAGTTACAACGGCCCTGAAATAAAAAAGTGACTCAACGACCATTTTTCATAGCTAGGACCTTTGCATCACGATGCAACCCCATGAGGATGTGATCAGAATTCAGATGCTTGGCAACTCGTTCATCCTTATGACCGGGTTACTGCTTTAATGACTCCAGCAATTGACTTAACAACTCTGTCCAGGAAGGTCGTAAAATGCGGGTCAAAACTCCCTGAACAAGGGTCTCACTTAACGACCAAAATGTTGGGCTCCAATTTTTGGGGTCGTAAGTTGAGAGGGCTACCTGTAATCTTAAATAAATTCACGAACTGAATTTATTTGCTAAAGAGTTCCTTTTTCTTGGAGTCTCTGACCTGTAATCGGGTGGGGTGCTACCGGTTCTGCCTAGCTCTGAAGAGCAGCAGACACCGAACCGGTTCTGTGTTTGCTGCTGTTTGGCCCACCCACCTGCCTGGACCCTTACCTGTCCTTTATTTCCTGCTTTTTCCACCTGGGCTGCTTTGCGCGGCACAGCTGAGGTTGAAAAAGCAGGAAAGAAGAGGGTTTCCGAGCGCTGCGCGCTTGCACGCAGCGCTTTTCAGCTGTCTGGGCGGCAGAGCTTAAGGTTTTTTATACACGCGTGCGCATAGCAAAACATAGTCACCGAATCCGTAGTAACACCGGTTGAATTCCACCCCTGCCTGTAATGTCTCTTTGGTCGGTCTGGAGAAGCCAGGTGACTTGCTAGCGTAAACCATTGATTGTTGAATTAAGAAGAAATCCATCGATCCTTTTCGTGGATCAAAATGCTGCCTTTGGGGAGGATCTCGGGGAAATTGCCTTCTCCTTCTTAATCCTTCCCTTTCCACCGCATGGTTTTCCATACCTTGGATCCATTTCTTCCCATCACGGATAAAAGAGCTGCACTCAAACGTTTATCTACGAAAATAGTTCTTCGGATTTCCTTATTTCTTAATAGTTGGTTTTTCTTCTTTTGTGACCTTCTGACAAGCAATGGGGAAGCCAGATTCAATTAACTTAGCAGCTGCAGGGATTCCCTTAACAACCTTTTGTAGCAAGAAAGGTCACAAAGTGGGACAAAGCTCACTTAACCGATGTTTTTTTGCTTAGCAACAGCAACGTTGGGCTCAATTGTGGTCATAAGTCAAGGACTACCTGCCCTTCTAGTTGCCAATGTGGAGTTATATTCAGCAGATCTATTCTCAGCGTGCCCAGAGAGAGAGAAATATCTGAGCCTACCTAGGATCAAACTCACAGCCTCCTGATTGTGAGGCGAGAGCTCCACCTCTAGGCCACCGCACCACTCTCTCTTCCCACCCAAACACCAATGGGATTTGTACCCTGGAGAAAGTCTTAAGGCTGGGTTGGCACCCAGCTCACCACATGCCCTGGATTATGACGCCCCACCAGTCCTGAACACCATAAAAAGGATTTACTTCTTTCAATGTGCATCTGGAAGGGGAAGGCCATTGCTTCTCTACGACCTTTGGCTGTTGCTAAGGCCAAATGTATTTGCCATATTCCCAAATCTCTCACCTTTGTTGGAGAAGAAATTCTCACAGGCCTGATTCATCCCCCACATCCAAAGCCTGTTGCTAATCTCTTGTGTGTCAGGGTTCCAACTGACCAACTCCAAACCAATAAACTCCAAGACAAACAATTCCACAAAGTTCCATTTTATTAGAGTTGTCCTATTGGCACATCTGGGAAAACCTGAATTTGAGAGTCCCTTCCCAAAAGAGAAATCAAAAACCCATCCCATACACCCATCAGTCCATCACATGCCCCAACCAAATCTTCGTCCCAAGTGGAGACATTCCTCCAGGCACTCCCCTCCAGGTGCAGGGCAACATGACCTTGACTCTCCGAGAAAGGAATGTTGTTGGGTCTAATCTTCCACTTCTCTATGAAATCTCTCCCTTCCCAAATTCCCAGGCACTGAATGTGGCAGCCTCGAAGCTTCCAGGTAAAAAATGGCTTCCAAGGCTGACATTGTGGACACAGCAGCATCGTCCCGGTCTGTTTCTCACATTCTCCCTGGAGTGTTCTCCCTCTATGTTCCTCCTCCTCCCTTTTTTTCCCCCTCCCTTCCTCCTCTCTTCCCCCCACTTTTCCCTTGTCTTCTCCTACACGGTGTCTTCTTCTTCTTCCCCGTCAGGACTACGAAAGCAAGCTCCAGGCTTTGCAGAAGCAGGTCGAGACCCGCTCCTTGGCTGCTGAGACTACGGAGGAAGAGGAAGAAGAAGAGGAAGAGGAGGGTGAGTTGAAAAATGGAGCCGGGCCGGGAACCAACTCCTGCAGGAAAAGAAGGGGATTTTATTTTTTGCAACTGGAGGCTTTGCACCTGTTCTTTTTCATTTTACACCCGTTTCCCCCCCCTACACCCCAAGATATTCCACTGATTTCTTTTCCCACAGGACATGGGGGCTGACTTGTCCAGTGAGACTTAGAAATTAGTATTATTGCAAGCCAAGGAGGTTACTGAATTTGTAAGGTGGAAGCGGTGGCGTCTTCTCCATCTTAGCCCTCATTTGATACTTTGGGCAGTTGGGGGAAAAAAAACTGCCCACTACTCATGTTTTTAAAAACTGGGGAAACAAAGTTCGTTTCTAATTTGTCCCCTCCAAAAAAACTAAAGCCACCAAAAGCTTATCCTGTTTCCCTGAAAATACGACCTACGCTGAAAGTAAGCCCTAGCTTGATTTTTACACATGCGCCCAATATAAGCCCTACCTCCCAAATAAGCCCTAATTAAGATCCCACCCACTCCAGAGTGCAGGAATAAAAATTAAGCTAGGATGGGGATGGTGGTGGGGGGTGGAGTTGCCCTACTACTTACCTTTGGACGGTTGTAGCCAGGCCTCACACACCCCGACATCTGCCTTGCCGACCCATTTTTTTCTGAAGCCGGCAAGGCTTTCCTGAAGGCCTCTGGAGCTGAGAACAAAGCTCAGGATCGATCCAGAGCTATTATCAGCTGCAGAGGCCTTCAGGAAAGCCTTGCCGGCCGCAGAAGTTTCTGAAGGCTTTTGACAGCAAAAAAGGAGGCCGGAAGCGACGTGCACAAGTGAGGTTTGTCAGTGGAGGAAATCCCCCGAAAATAAGACCTGGTGCCTTTGTTTGGTGGCAAAAAAAATATAAGACAGGGTCTTATTTGGGGGGGGGGGGGAGAAACACAGTACAAAAGCAACAAGTTTTAAGCCACAAAATGCAGTTAGTCGAGGACTACCTGTATCTTCAGGCACTGTAGTGTCGTTATGTCCTACAAGGAACAACTTCTTTGAGTTACTCCTAAGGCAGTGGTTTTTTTTTTTCAACCTTGGCAACTTTGAGATAGGTGGACGTCAACTCTCAGAATATCCCAGCTGGCCATTACCCTAGAGGCCACCCTAGAGAAGACCTTTTCTTTAGTGTAAACCTTAGGAACGAACTTATGCATCTTTTTTATTTGTTTGTTTGTTTATTTATTTTCCAGTGCCTTGGACACAGCATGAGTATGACCTTGCCCAATGGGCTTTCCGCAAATGGAAGTTCCACCAGTTTACCTCTTTAAGGGATCAGCTGTGGGGCAATGCAGTCTACCTGAAGGAAGGCAACGCCATTAGCGTGGAGCTGAAAAAGAAGGTAAGGGATTCTCGGAGGAAGGCCTTCCCATGACACATCCACAAGGTTCAGCGTTTCTCCAGCTTCGCCGCTTGAAGACGGGTGGGACTTCAACTCCCAGAATCCCCCAGCCAGCTTATAATCTGGGAGCTTGAAGTCCACGCGTCTTAACTGGAAAAAGGTCAAGCTGTTTGAACAAGGGAGCTTCTAGGTTTTAGGACTTTAGGCTAATTGGCAAAGCCCATCAGTGGCCATCAACCTTGAGGGCTTCCGAGAACCTCCATATGCTAGAGCAGTATATATATTGCCACAATAGCACCAGTCGAGGACAAAAAACACTTCGTTGTTCAGCTCCGCATCTACGTCCACCTCTTATTTTTGTCCTTCCAGGTACAATTCCAGTTCGTTCTGCTGACCGACACGCTTTACTCCCCGTTACCTCCGGAGCTGATGCCCATCGACTCAGACAAGCCCCGTGGCCATTGTCCCTTCCCTCGCACGGTGGTGGCAGTAGAAGTCCAGGATCTAAAGAACGGCGCTACTCACTACTGGTCCCTGGAAAAACTCAGGTGTGCAAGGACCGGCTTTGAACAAGCTGACGAGCCTTCCTAAAGCAGAGGTCTCCAACCGCGGCAACTTTAAGACTGGTGGACTTCACCTCCCAGAATTCCCCATTCAACTATGCCTGTTGGTGGTTGTTGTTGGTTTTTTTCCTCCGACTCCCTAGAGTGGAGAGATTGCAGAGGAAGGGATTACAAGAGAGGAAGCAGGCATCGAGTTGAAGTCTAGCAAAGCTGTGAGGAACTCTGGGAGTTGAAGTCCACAAGTCTTAAAGTTGCCGAGGTTGGAGGCCCCTGCTTCAGGAGGCTCATCAGCCCTGTTTTTTTTTTAAAAAAATGCTTCTATAGGCACCAATCCAACCTCTGGTGGTAGGCAGGAGGCCCGAAACCCGTTCACGTAATTTAAATGGATCCAGGCTGTCTCTCTTGACCCCTTGGCCATCTTGTGCTTTGTAGGCAGAGGCTGGAGCTGATGAGGGAAATGTACGACCGAGCCGGAGAGATAGCCTCCGACGCCCAGGAAGAGAACGAGAGCACCATGACGGGCAGCGATCCTTTCTACGACCGATTCCATTGGTTCAAGCTGGTCGGGAGGTAAGCGGAACCCAATTCCGTGCGGAAGAGAGGCCCATCGGCCTTGTGGGAATGAATATCTCTGGCACGGCTGGCCTGAAGGGGCGGTATCGTTCTGTCATATCCCCTTCCTAGATAGATGCACGATTGGGATAGGACTTTGTGCGGTCATCCGGCTGGTTGTCTTTTTTTTTAGAACTTGGGAGTGAGTTGAATTGGCCCATTTCTCCTCAAAAATTGACCTCTTGTCCCCTGAGTAGAAATTCAGTTTAGAAATGGCATTTCCTCGGATGTGAAAACGTGGAAGATGCCATTCGATGGGAAATTTGACTTCTGAGCCTTCTTCCTTCAGAAAAGAGCCAGAGGTTTAAATGAGGTCATTCTTGTTTCTGAGATCTGTTTCCGGAAGAAGAAAGATCCACGCTGAGAATCCAGGCATTGTTCCACTGAAAACCATCCCACAGTAGCAGAATGTTGTTAATTTGCTTTTTGTTTTAGAAAAAAAAAACAACCTTTGCTTTGGTGTACACATGCATTTCCTCGGCTTGGTAGCAACCTGCGTATTAGCCTCCTATGAGAACGGAGTTTTGTGTTTGGATTTGAGATGGATTTGAAATTCCACTTTAAAGTACGCCGATTAATCTACATTCGAAATGACTGTTCTGACCCAGCCTCCCAAACACGACAAACCCTTTGAAGCTAAATCAATGATTCCTTTATTCGGAGCACCAGCAGCCCCCGCAAAAAACGTTTCTCTCTCACCGCTGGCTAATAAGTCTATCCAGCAGGGAGATGAATAGTTGTCTGCCACACCTATTCATCTCCGCCCCGCTGCCTTTTATCACTAGGGTGGGGCTTTGCTAGCAGTGATGGCTCTTCCGTCCCGAGGACCAGCCCGTAGATTTCCACTGCTCTCCTCTCCTCTGCTTTCTGCTCATCCTCAGTCAGGCACTGGACCAGGTTGTTCCTCCTTTTCTTCATCAGCCACCTCCAGTCCTGGGGGCTGTTGACTCTCCCTCTGAGGGCTGAGGGACGGCTCAGGCTCCATCTCTGTCCCTTTCCCTGCCAGCTCCATTCCCCCTCGGAGCTCCCAGGTTGACCTGGCCCTGACTCCCACGCCTCCGATCCAGCTGGTGGCCGGCAGGCCACAACAGCGACAATAAAAGCGATCCTATCTACCAACCTGTTTCTATGTGCAGAGTTTCCCAGAAAGGGTTGAAATATTTTGCTTCGACAGCTTAGGGGGAAATGCTAAGTTTCTCTCGCCGGAAACCCTCTTCCGCGGTTCGCACACAACTCCGTGTCGGAGAGTCTGCCTTTACTCCGCACTGTGCTTTGTCTCGCGCCCCCCCTCTCTGCCCCCAACGCCACCCCCAAAGCTTTGCCTTGCGAATGTTGTTTTCCGGTGTGCTGTGCGCTGGGCTCTGCCGGCCGGCAGAGCCCCTTTCTTTTTTCTTTTTTTCCAAAAGAAGCTACCCCTTTCTTCCTCCTCCCTCCTCTTCCTCCTCCCTTGCCGCGTTAATCAAAGTATTCCGTTGACCGATATCTCTAGCTCCCCCATTTTCCACGGCTGTGTGAATGAGCGCCTGGCTGACCGCACGCCCTCCCCCACTTTCTCCACCGCCGATTCCGATATCACGGAGCTGGCCGACGAGCAGCAGGACGAGATGGCGGATTTCGACGACGAGGCCTTTGTGGACGACACGGGCTCCGACGTCGGCACCGAGGAAGGATTGGACTGCTTCAGCGATGGTCATGACCCGTTTTATGACCGCTCCCCTTGGTTCATTTTGGTGGGAAGGTTGGTTGAGGTCGACCGTAAGAATGACCAGCAAGGACTGGCTATTTCTCCCCTCCCGCATCCCCGGTGAACCGTGTGTCCTTCCTGTCAAAAGGAGCCGGTCCAGGCCGATTCCCCCCAACTTATTATTTCAGGATAATTTGATTTCCTCTCCATGAATTCCTAGCCTCCATAATACAGGTAGTCCTCAACCTACAACAGTTCGCTTAGTGACTGATCAAAGTTGCAACGGCAGTGAAAAAAAAGGGACGTTCACACTTCGTGTCGCAGCATCCCCCCATGGTCACGTGATCAAAATCCAGACGCTTGGCAACTGACTCATATTTGTGACAGTTGCAGTGTCCCGGGGTCACGGATTCTGCTTTTGCTACCTTCTGACCAGCAAAGTCAATGAGGAAGCCAGCTTTGCTTCAGAACAGTCTGACTCAATAGTGGGATTCAAAATATTTTTGCTACTGGTTCTGGGGGGTGTTGCTTGGTGGGCATGGCAGGGGACGGATACTGTAAAATCTCCATTCCCTCCCCTCTCCAGAGGGAAGGTTTAGAGGTGGTATTCAGCTGGTTCTGACCAGTTGTGAAGAACCGGTAATGGAAATTTTGAGTCGTTTGGAGAACCATCCAATCCCGCCTCTGACTGGCCCCGCCAACCCCATCTCTCCTCCGCCTCCCATCGAGTCCCAGCTGATTGGCTGGGTCTCCTTGGGTTGCCCTGCCCAGGAGAACGGAGCTGGACAGCAGGTTAGTGGGATGGGGGATTTTTACAGTATCCTTCCCCTGCCACGCCCACCAAGCCATTCCTATCTGAAGGGCAGCCATTGCTCTGGTCCTCCGTAACATGGTTTGTGGTTGTGTTAATATGGCACCCGAAGCGATCCTTCGTGGCTTTGCCTTACCAGTGCAATTGTGGCTTCTTAGAAGCTCCCAGCTTAGCAGGATGGGAAAAACCAGCCATTCTGTCTTTTTACCCTTAGAAATGACCAAAGAAGGCCTATGGCATTGCAACCTCTTAAAAACCAGGAATATAAAAGTTGCATTTGGTTAAGCACCAGCGAGTTTTGGGATGGTGGCCAGAGTGCCCTACGTCTGGCTGTGACAACTTGCCACTCTAGCCAACCTGAGGAATACCCATCTTATCCTCTTCCTGGCCCTGTTTGTTAAGCTAGAGCTTGTAAATTGTGCAGTGGTCCACATCTGGATGCTGGTTTGGCCTCCACTTGGCGGCTCAGAGGAAAAACGCCGGTCCTTGCAGTCAATTCTTTTGGCACGCCGTGTGAAATTGATGCTTATTGGCTGGCGAAGGCGTCCGAAACGGGGCCTTCGCCTCCACCTCAGCCCGGATTACGTTTTCTAACCCATCCCAGACTTCCTTTGCATTCTATTTGTCGCCTTGCCATCCTCCCCCTGTTTTTATTTCCACGTTCAACTTTTATTTTCTCATCTGACTTGGCTTTTTTTATGTGAAGATGCCGCTCTGTCTCTCACCCAGCCTTTGGGCTCATCCTCATACCTCCCCTTTTCTTTCAGTCTGCTGCTGCTGCTGCCTTGAACAAAAAAAAAAAATTGCTTCCCTCTGAAATAAGCTTGGAAAAAGGAGGCTGGAAAAAAAGGAGGACGATTTGTCTCCGTTTTGAGTTGCCGCCATTTCAGTTTGTGTCTCCATTGTGTTGAAATTGCTAGTGTTTCCCCGCTTTTGTGTTGCACTCCACTGACATTTTATTGTTGTTGTTGTAGAATACACAGTTGGTGCTTGTGTTTTGCATTGCTTTACCATTTCTTCATTTCAGGAAATTCCCATCGGTTGGATAGGGGTGCTGGCAGAATAGATTAATATGCCCATATAAAAGTTTCCCATATTTCTGGTCCACAGTGTTTCTTTAATTAGTTAATTAGTTTAATTATTTATAGGTGTTTATATTTGGCCATTTGTGACATAGAGCCCCTATGTCTGTAGGGCCAGTCTATTGGGAGGGACTGGGAGGTGCAAAATACAATTTGAAATTAATGCCTTATTTTATTCTGCTGCAAAGGCCAATGTTTTTTTTTGACATTTGGCAAAGCTAATTTGCACAAAAAATGCAATATTTCAACGGTTACTTACATGTGTAAGTTTTAATGTAAACTGTGCCGTAATAGGGCGTTTGTGCCTCTCAATGCAAAACACATAGCCTTTAAACCTTGTTATGGCTTCTAGATGTAAGCAACAATCTTGACGTTGCCACAAAAGAGATAGTAACTGGTTAAAATATTAAAAAATATTCCGTTCGAAATTCATAGTGAAGAAGAGCTAAAATTTGACATGTGTTCAGGAATTGCCTTCATCGGTTTTTCTTTTTAAGTTTTTGTGTCAGGTAAACAACTGAGAGTTGTCTGTGAGATGGGTTCAATCGTCGGTGATTTGTTAAAAGTTTAGGATGGGTCGTAGCTACGTTTCATTTCAAGCTTCCTAATGGATGAGTCGTTACTGTGTTTGTCCTCAGCCAGATGCCATCTCTACTCCAATTAATCACACGTAACTCTTGTTTTACAAATGATGGTCTAACTAACATTTGGTTTCCATCCTTCTTTTCCTTCAGGGCGTTTGTATACTTAAGCAATCTTCTCTATCCAGTCCCCCTCATCCACAGAGTGGCTGTTGTCAGCGAGAAGGGAGAAGTGCGTGGATTTCTGCGTGTGGCCGTCCAAGCTATAGCTGGTAAGTAGCAGCCAGGCCTTGCCGAGGAGCTGAGGGTAGCTGTCGGTTTGTTCATGGCGTTGTTGGCTTTTTCATGGTTTGGGCCGGTAACAGAATTGTAACGTTTTAAAGATTCAGGGACGCAGTGGCTCTGTGGCTAAGATGCTGAGCTTGTTGATCAGAAAGGTTGGCAGTGTAGTGGTTCGAATCCCTAGCATTGCCACGTCACAGAGTGAGCTCCTGTTGCTTGTCCTAGCAGCTTCTGCCAACCTAGCAGTTCGAAAGCGCGTAAAAAAAAATGCAAGTAGAAAAATAGGGACCCCTTTGGTGGGAAGGGAACAGCGTTCCGTGCACCTTCGGCGTTGAGTCCTGCCGACTACATGACCACGGAGACGTCTTTGGACAGCGCTGGCTCTTCGGCTTTGTGACGGAGATGAGCAGCGCCCCCTAGAGCTGGAAACGACTAGCACGTAGATGAAAGGGGAACCTTTTACCTTTACCTAACGATTGAAGTTGGGGTGTTTGAAAGCTTGTTTCTCTAACGGCTGTATTTTGCCTCTTTCTTTGAGGGGTCCTTGGTGCCTTGGATCTTGGTGGTTTTCTCACAGACGTTTCACGACCAAAGTAGGTGACATTATCACGACGTGCCCTGCACTGACAGGGTTGCCTAGTTTGGTAATGAAACGTCTGCAGAGAAAACCACCAAGGTCAGAGAGCACCAAGGAACCTGGCAGTGCTACAAATATTCTCTCCTCCATCGGTTCTTTCTCTCTCTTTTTTTTTTTCGGTAGCTGACGAAGAGGCCCCTGATTACGGCTCTGGCGTTCGGCAGTCTGGCACAGCCAAGATCTCCTTCGACAATGAGTATTTCGACAAGGTAACGTCTTGCTTAAGTGCACCTCTACACAGTCTTGGCATTCAAGGGGCAAAGAAGGGCTTGTAGAGGAAGAGAGCAAGGGACGGCATCACCAGGCATCTCCCGTTGGTTTGTGGTTCTCCAGAGCAACTTTTCATCCGTGTCCATGACTCATTCCGGATTGTCCTTGGAAGAACTGAGGATCGTGGAGGGACAAGGCCAGACTGCGGAAGTCAATACGCCCCCTGAAGAAATCAACAGGATGAATGAGCTGGGTAAGTCGAGCAGACCTTCACTGCATGCTGAAGATCTCTTCCCATTCTTTGAGCTCCAGCAGAGATTGGAGACGTGTCAAATTAAGCTGGGACCGTGCTAGAACCAGACCTTAAAATATTTTGAGGGGGAGAGAAGCTTTAACAATAGCACTTAGACTTATATACCACTTTATAATGCTTTCCAGCCCTCTCAAAGCAGTTTACAGAGCCAGTCTCTTGCCCCCCAACAATTTTGGGTCCTCATTTTATCCACCTCGGAAGGATGGAAGGCTGGGTCAACCTGGAGCCTGGTGGGATTTGAACTGCCAAATTGCAGTAGGAGTAGCTTGCAGTACTGCACTCTAACCACTGCGCCACCGAGGCTCACTATGATATAGGGGGGTTCCCAACATTTGCTTTTCCAGGGTTCTGTCAGCTTTGGAAACCATATTAGCAACCAGAAGCTTCCACGCTGCCACATTCTTGAGCCTGGGAAATTGGGAAGGGGGATTTCATGGAGCGTATGTGGTTAGACATAATAGCATTCTTTTCCTAAGTAAAGGTCATATTATCTCTGCACCTGGGTGAGGGGGAAATCTCAAGTTGGGACGGATGGTGATTGGGGCATGTTGGGTGCAGGGAGTGGACTTGTATTTTTTTAAATTATTGAAGGAAAATTTGGAACTCTCCGATTCGGGTTTTCCCAGATGTGGCAGTATGACTTTTCCAATAAAATGGAACTCTGAGAAAATGCCTGTCTTCGGAGGTTTTGACTGGAGTTTGGTTTTGCCGGAACGCCGACAGGCTTTTTAAGTCTTTGAGGTGTTCAGATGGCTGTTTGGATGCCATCAAGGCCACCTCTGGATCGGAAGCCGCTCTAAAAGCAACGGCCACAGCCACGCCGGGCAAAGAACAGGCGGGGACGCATCTTGCCATGTGCGACTGAACTCCGAGTGAATATGCTTCCAGATGGTTGCCATCCTTTCCGAGATGGCGTTCCTTTTTAAAATATATATATATTTCTTTTTCCAGACCTGAAATCCAGCACCCTGTTGGATGGCAAGATGGCCATGGAAGGGTTTACTGAGGAGGTTGGGGACCACCTGAAACTGGGCAGTGTCTTTACCTTCCGTGTGACGGTGCTGCAGGCCAGCGGGATCCTCCCAGAATATGCAGATATCTTCTGCCAATTCAAGTAAGTCTAAGAAAGCTCCTAGTCCTCATGTTTGCACGAAGTCCAATCTTCTCTACTCCAACTCCCTGTTTAGACAGGACACCCTACACCACTTCAGACAAATGGTCATCCAATCTCTTGTTTAAAAACTTCCAGCGTTGGAGCATTCACAACTTCTGGAGTCAAGCTGTTCCACTGATTAAATGTAATTTGTCAGGAAATTTCTCCTTAGTTCTAAATTGCTTCTCTCCTTGATGAGTTTCCACCCGTTGCTTCTTGTCCTGCCTTCTCAGATGCTTTGGAGAATAGCTTGACTCCCTCTTCTTTGGGGCAGCCCCTGAGATATTGGAAGACTGCTATCCTGTCACCCCTAATCCTTCTTTTCATTAAACTAGACTATATATAAAGTATATGATGCGAGAGATGGCAGGTATACAGGCTTAAGGCCCTCATTGGGACTGGAACTGACACTGCTAATTGAGGCGATGATGACACAATTCACCTTCACCTGTTTTATTCTCGTTTTCCTAGCTTTCTCCACCGGCACGATGAAGCTTTCTCCACCGAACCTCTGAAAAATAACGGCCGAGGGACCCCGCTTGGATTTTATCATGTCCAAAATGTAAGCAAATGAAGCGACCTTCTTGGAGGGATTCTTGGTGGCTTCTCAGAGATCAGAATTAGGATTAGAATTAGAATTCTTTTATTGGCCAAGTGTGATTTGTCTTGGTGCAAATGTTCTCGGTGTACATAAAAGAAAACATCCATTCTCCAAGAATCATAAGATGCGACACTTAATGATAGTCATAGGGTACAATAAGCCATCAAATCATACTAGGAAACAGTCAATATAAATAGTAAGGATACAGGCGACAAAGTTACAGTCCTACAGTCACAAGTGGGAGGGGATGGGTGATAAGGAGCGATGAGAAGATTAATAGTAATAGTAATGCAGACTTTGTAAATAATTGGACAGTTTTGAGGGAATTAGTTGTTTAGCAGAGTGATGGCGTTCGGGGAAAAAACTGTCCTTGTGTCTAGTTGTTCTGGTGTGCAGGGCTCTATATTGTCATTTTGAGGGAAGGAGTTGAAACACTTTATGTCCAGGATGTGAGGAGTCTGTAGATACTTTCACAGCCCTCCTTTTGACTCGTGCAGGATGCAGGTCCTCCATGGAAGGCAGGTTGGTAGCAATTGCTATTTTCCGCAGTCCTAATTCCTCTCTGGAGTCTGGGTCTGTCCTGTTGGGTTGCAGAGCCAAACCAGACAGTTACAGAGGTGCAGGTGACAGACTCCATCCTTCCTCTGTAGAACTGGATCAGCAGCTCCTTTGGCTCAGAATCACCTGCAGATGAAGTACTGGCAGCAACCTTTCTATTTCCAGATAACCAAGCTAGCCATCTCTTCTCCTGCTGGCTGGCTGGAAGGTTACAATTATTTTATTATTTTCAAAATCTTTTCTTGCTCAAAGTCAGACAGCTGTTCCGTGTGTCTTGGCAGATTTCCGTGGAAGTGACCGAATCGTTTGTCGAATACATCAAGACCAAACCCATTGTCTTTGAGGTCTTTGGACACTATCAGCTCCACCCGCTCCACCTGCAGGGACAGGAACTCAACAGGTACCTGGATAACAATACTCGTAGTCCTCGGCTTATGACCATTCACCGAGTGACCGTTTTGAAATACGACCAGTTTCCCCACCGAAGGCCGTGGCAGCATCTCCTGGGGTTCACGTGATCTTGGCAACTGACTCCTATTCGTGACGGTTGCCCTGCTCCATTTGGGATCTTCCCAACTGGCTTCTGACCATTTGAAATACGACCAGTTTTCACACCTAAGGCCGTGGCAGCATCCCAGTGGTCATGGGATAGAAATCCAGACCCTTGGCAATCGGTTCGTGTTTATGACGGTCGCAGTGTCCCGAGGTCACGCGGTCGCCTTTTGGCGGCCTTCTCACAAGCACAGTCAGCGGGGAAGCCAGATTTGCTTTGCAACCGGGTTCCCAAGTGATGAACTGCAGGGTTTCGTTCAGGAACTGTGGCAAGGGAGGCCATAAAAAGGGGCAATATCCACTTAACCAGTGTCTCAGTTAACAATTGAAATGTTGGGCTCAGTTGTGACCCTACCTGTACGAGGGGGTCTGTCCATCCTCAGTGCGGTGCTGAGCTAAAAGACGTCATTGCTGCTCCCTTTGTCTTTAGACGTGCAGCAGTTGCGCTAACATCCTCTTTTCTCCGCAGCCCTCCACAGCCATCCCGGCGATATTTCCCTCCTCCCATGCCTCTCTCGAAGCCAGGTAAGAGCTGTTTTTCCTCGGAACAAGAAGTTGCCCCCTCTGAGTAGCCAAGTCTTGAGCGCGCAAAATGGTTTAGGAGGTCGCAGGGAGTGGCGCAAGGTCGGGTGAAATCAGGTGGCGTCAAATCCGATAGAATAAGAATCACGCATGGATTGCTGGGACTTAGAATCATCGGAGTTAGGTGGCATCGAATGGAAAATAACAACAAAAATAGATTAGTACCGAAACATCTACAAGAAAACCGCCCAGCTCATTGAGCTCCAGGAACGCCACAAGTACATTAGTCATTGGGAATGACAAGGAAGAGACAAACTTTACTAGTTACTTTGTAGTAGTAGAAGTAGTAATAGTAACAACAGCTGGCTACATCTTGTGAGGTTACCTTTAATATTACTAAACAACCCCTGCCTCTCCTAAGTCCTTGGGATGGACTCGGTAGCAGGACAAGAATGCCAAACCCTAAACATCTGGCTGACTGTGCAACCAACCTTGGTGGGCCAGCCTTTATCTGCCCAAAGGCTGCCAGCTGCTTGTAAACCGAGAGGTCTTCTTGAGACCAGTTTCAAAGCAGACTTCCCCAAAAAGCTGGAGGATGGGATGAGGAGAAACTACTATTCTTGTCTCATGCCTGGAGACTGTGTCAGATTCCTGTGGATCAGTCCTTTTCTACTGACATGTGACTCTCTTCTCAGTAACCATCCTGTCCCTCATCACATTTCCCCAAACCCCTCTTGGTTGTCTTGGTTTAGCTTTCAGTTGTGCATGTTGATTTTTTTTTCATTCATTCCATTTTTTTCCCCCCCCGCCCACCTCCTCTCCCTCCCAACCTGACCTCCTCGCCCCTCTCTCACGCCTCTCTTTTCTCACCGCTGATGCCTTTCCTCCAACGTCCCCCGTTGCTTCCTCCAGACCATGAGAGAAAAATTGAATTGGTCAAGTATCTCATGTCTGGCTATGTAAACGCGCCCGTGCTCGATGCCGTCTCCCAGCATGCCCACATGCTTGCGACGTCGGCCGTGGCAACGTTCCAAGACGATGCTGACCAGCCGCCTCCTTTTCTCTCTCTGCCTGTCCCCAGCTGTCAGGCCCAGCGGTTCCCCAAGCGAGATGGTCAGTAGCACAAATCAATCTGCGGTCCGTGTCGGAAGACCCCTCAGGCCTCTTTCGCCAGGCGCCCGGGGGTTCTCCTGACCCCTGTATTGTCACTTTCACCATGTGGTGGGCTGGGGCTTGACTTGAATCCAAAACCATGACTCTACGTACAAGCCCATGAGTTGAATCTGTAGGTTATGGACATTCCAAGATTCTCTTAAGACGGGAAGAAAACCCTGCCAAATACTTTTGACCAAAACTGTCAGGATTCCTTGTGGGTCCATGTTCCTGTTTTGCTATGAAAACCATGTTCTGTTTATCCGTTATTCTGTCTCTTTTGTTCCTGAGATGCCTTTTTGTGTCTCTTCTTTTTAATAATAATAATAATAAACAACTTAATGAATTCTTGCTGGTTAACAAGTGACAAGGGGAAACCTGCTCCTCTTGTTATCATATTATCATATTATAACATAGGGGCGCAGTGGCTCAGTGGTTAAAGATGCTGAGCTTGTCAGTTGGAAAGCTGACAGCCCAGGTTTGAGACCTGAGTGCCACAGGACGGGGTGAGCTCCCATTCTTTGCTCCAGCTCTTGCCCACCTAGCAGTTCAAAAACATGCAAATGCAAGCAGATAAATAGGTAGGAGTTCAATGGGAAGGTAAAAGCATTCCACGTGTCTTGCTGTGTAGCTATGCTAGGCACATGATCATGGGAAGAAATGTCTTTGAACAACACTGACTCCCTTGGCAAAGAAATGGAGATAAGCATTGTACCCTAGAATCATAAACAACTGGACAGGGGAAATATTTACCTTTATATTATAATGTAATATTATTTTAGGCTGGAGCTGATGAGTCCTAACCCATCAGGGAAAGCTTGCCAGAGATGCGTTTCTTAATCCTGCAGCTTCAACACTCATAAATCCCAGGCAGCAATAGGAGTATTTATATGTCATTTCCAGACTGCGTTTTCTTTTAATGTTTAAACCAGCCTTTTTCTCTTTCAGTCCCAGCCACCAAACTCAACACGATGAATAAACCCAGCTTGGGACAGAGCATGACCAAATACGATCTTCTGGTTTGGTTCGAGATCAGCGAACTGGAGCCGACGGGAGAGTGAGTTGGGTCTGATGGCCGTGCCTGGTAGGGGAGCTTGGTGACAGGAGCAGCCAGTGCTGCTTAGCATTTGGGTTGAGACGGCTGAAGCAGGGTGTCAGGATTCCAGCAGTTACCCTAATTAAATCAAGAGCCTCAAGCCAAGCTTCAAAAATTTCAAAGGATTTATTAGGAGCGAACATGTCGGCATGACCTGTATGAAGCCAATTCTGAGACACGTAATATACTATCACCTATGACCCTGTTTTTCCCCCACCCCTCTGGGTGTGTCATAATTCATATTCTCCAATGAAACACGTTCATAGCTGAGAGTCATTAATCATGTTCTCCAATTAGGGATTTCCGAGGCAGAAATTCCGGTAGCTTAGTTACAATCTTTGCAAGATAAGAATGGAATGCACTTGGGGTTTTAAATTGCTCCTTCCAATTGCTCCCCGCTCCCCTGTTTATGGCAACTCTAAAACCAGCATAGAAATGTATTATGAGTTGATATTCGGCTCCCCTCACTTCTTGAAGGTGACCTGAACAAAAGAAGAAAAAAAAGACAAATTGAGTGGAGGTATAGAACTTAGAGTTGCGAAACACACACACACACACACACAGAGGCTTGGTTGGATTTTCTGCATGGAACCTTGAGTTGACACGAGATCCTTTTGCTGAAGGAGCTTGGTGGATTTAAGCTGGAGCACGGGGAACTACGCGCTACCACTGTCTAACAGACTGCTAAGGAGAAGACCTCCTTTCTTGCTGCAAACCCAGAGGAGCATTGTCATTCCAAAGCTGCCTTGCTAGAGCTATTTACTGTTGGGGTTCCAAGTAATAGCCCCATAGAAAGCAGAGCTCCGAGGCAGGCAGATTCCTCAAATAACAGTTTTATTGGCGATAACATATTGAGAAATAATTCTGAGTTGACCCTAAGATCTTGGTATTTCCCAGCAAATAGTCCAGCTGTATTTGTCATTTTATCCGAGGAGGAAAAGGGTCGGGATGGAGGTAGCTGTGAGCTCTGGGGAATTAAACCTCTCTCTCATCTCTCCCTTGCAGATACATCCCGGCCATTGTTGACCATACCGGAGGTCTCCCCTGCCAAGGGACATTCTTACTTCACCAGGTGGGTAGATGTTGAAATCCACACAACAGCTCCTTTGAATCCGGCTCGATTCTGGTGACTCCATGAAGACTTGTTTTCCGTTGGAGTTTTTTATATATATATATATATATATATATGAGTGGCAATAATGCTCAGAGAATTGCCATTTTCTTCCTTTTTTATATATTTTACTTCCCAATTCGCAGCCCGACCTATCATCCTGCTGTTACTAGCCGTCTCCTGACCTAGTTGTAATCAGACCACACCCTGCTGCCTTGAGGCCAGACGGGGACTATTAGACTGGTCTGTTTGAGCTGGGCTGTTTGAAATAAAAATTAAACTCTGATGCTTGTGGGAATCTGCCAATAAACCTCATCTCGGTGAATTGGAGCTCATTCTCCCCCTTTTTTCTGGCCAGCACTGAAGTGAAACCATGCTTTTTGGCACCTGCATCTGGTAGTCTTCCCAGTGGTGGGATTCAACCAGTATAACAACTGGTTTGGTGAGCGCATGCACGCAGCGTTTTAAAAACCGCCATTTCCAGCTAAAACTGACCACCTGCTGCAGCCCCGGGGAGTGAAACCGCCAAGGCACGGCAAGGCGCGGTGCTGAGTGAATCAGCTGGGCTTCAAAAGAAGGAAATAAAGGACAGACTAGGGCGGGGACGACTGATCGCCGGAACTGCCGGTGCCCGCGAACCGCTACGTACCGGCTGAATCCCGCCACTGAGGCTTCCTCAGTTCGATTCAGTTCTCTGCTGGTCCAGACGTCTTGGCGGTTTTTAAGCCTCACATTTAAAGAGGCCGAATGCTAAGGGGGAGAAGCAACAGAGCCCGTCTCTTTTTCACCACTGCAGGGAATACAGCGGAGGATCACCATTACCATCATCCACGAGAAAGGGAATGAGCTCCACTGGAAAGATGTGCGAGAGTTGGTAGTCGGTAGGTGTCCTTCTCTGTTTCTGGACGGCTCCTTCTGCCTTCTCACTCTTCTTACACTCACTGCAGAGTGCCCAGCCTGCTTTGCTTTGCCACATATATCTGGCCCAGGGAGTTTTTCAGGGAGGAAGGGGCGAGGATGATGGGTCTACGACAGTTCGCCACGGCCAACTTGCCACCAGCGTCTTGTCACAGCCAGCTCGCTGCAGGACAAACTTGCTGTGGGACAAGAATTACACTTGTATCAAATACTCAAATAGGATCCTTAAAGAAAGAGTGTCAAAGGCAGGCCAAAATAAAATGTGAATGACAAAAATTAAAATCATTGTTAGAATTATTTTAAACTAGCTTGATACCCGTGCTTCACTACAAAATTATGTGGCCGGGCTTAGTTTTTGGGGAGGAAACTAAGGGAAAAATATTCTGCCTCTGCCCACCAGCATCCATCAGTATTCCTCTGGCTAGCGTCCTGTCAGTGTGTGTGAGAGAGCTGAGGGCTGTTTGGAAACTGAAGCAGTATTTGCTGTGTGAGCAAGAAGGAGACAGCAAGGAGCCTGGGCGTGGCTTAGCTCAACTCTTCTGTACTGAAGCTGATTGCTGCTATGAAACCGAAACTGAAACTCCTCTGCTTGTGTTTTGCACTTGGAACGGATTTCTTTTCAGGTGGGGACGGGGGAGTAGAACTCCTTAGCATCAGAGCGTGTTAATAATAATAATATAGGAAACACTAATGGCTCTGGTGGTCATTTTGAAAAATCCTTTCTCAGTGAGAAGCTAGAAGTTAAGAGGAACATAAGTGCCAAATTTCAAGTTTGTAGGCTTTACGGTTCTGGAGATTTTGTGACGATGGGTGAGTGACATTTCGCCTTTATATAGAGAGAGACAATAAACTTGAATTATTGAATTGTCCCGCAACAGGTTGACCCCTGGTAAGTTGGCTACAGTGAATTGGCTGTGGGTGAGTTGTCCCAATCCAGATGATGATCCTTCACGGAAACTCAGGGTCCAACGGGGACCTTACTTCCGAAGTAGCCGATTGGGAGGATCTGTACCCGAGATTTCTTTTTTGCAGGAAGGGACTTGCCATTCCACAAAGATTTGACTTGGCATTTGGATTGATGAATGGCTTTGGGTGGGGAAATGCCCCAGCCTGGGTACATTCCCTCCCAAATCCTCCTGCAATTACACGGCTTTCTGACAGTGAATGTAAGATACGACCGGGCTGAACCTGAGGGAGGGGTCAAACATGTCATCAGTCATGAATTCCTTTTTGCGCCCGTAGAAGATCCAAGTCCAGCCCACCTTATTGCGTGGACGTTAGTAGTTTGGATTCTTGCAGAGAGCTTACACTTGTAAATCTTTACCTCCATTTTGGGCCTTCCGATTTCCTTGGCGCTTGATGGTGAGTTTCCCTCGGGGGTTCTTCCCCGCGAAGCGACCCCGACTAAATCTGTGCTCTTTGGCCTCTGTTCTCTTCACAGGGCGCATCCGGAACAAAGCCGAAGTGGACGAAACGGCCGTGGACGCCGTCTTGTCTCTCAACATCATCTCCGCCAAGTACCTGAGGGTTTCTCACAGCTCCAACAGGTCAGAATGCGTTGCTCAGCCTGGGTCGGCTCTCTAACGTGGGAGCCCCAGCTAGGGTGGATTGCAGGTCCCATGCTCCCCAGACAGCCAGACGGAGGGGGATTCTGACCCACTTATGGGGCCCTGGGTAGGGATGGGCTCCTCCGTTCTCCGGGTAGGATAGTTTTGAAGCAGGTTTTACACCTAGTAGGAAAGAGAAACGAGGTTGCGGCACTTAAGAATCTGCGACCGCGTTTTATCTTTAGAAATAGTGAAAATGGCAAACGGGGTTTTTCTTTTTTATCAGGATCAGAGAAAGGGAACAGCCTGAATACACGAACGTTAGTCATCCAAATCTTTTATAATAGACAAATAATGATATATGATTATAACCCACCACAAAGGGGTTTTTTTGCCCACCCCTCCCACAGGCTTCCATCCCTTTAGGTTGTGAAATAAATTCACCCTCTTTGTGATTTGCCCAGTTTCCAGCTCTTTGCCCCTTGGCAGGAGAAGGCAAAAGTGGCAGAAACGTCTTCCTGAGTTCACATATGCGATGCATGTCTCTCTCTCTCTGTGTGTGTGTTTTCAATGTCCCTGCATTTGTGTCTTTGGGTTGTCCTTTGGCCTGAAGGTTTGGTTTTTCTCCGCTGCTTTCTTTTCTCGCTCGTCCGCCCGTGTTTGGGACAACCTAACCAACGCTTTCTGTATCTCCACAGGCTCTTCCTTGATAAGGATATGCCTAGGTATTTTTCAAATTTGCTTCCTTGGCGCCCAACGCTCCTGGCCTAGTGCCCGACCTGTCCTCGTCCCCTTCTCCCTAATCCCAGTTTTGGCTGGCAGGCAGAGCTTTCATTCCCCCACCCACCCGCCCCACCCCTTTGCTGCTTGCGCTGTGGCACCTCTCCCTGTTTTGGGGGGTGGTGGCTTTAAAAGCTCCCTTTCGCCCCGTTCTCAGAGGCCTGCCCAGCATATCTTGAGAATCTTAGGGGTGCTTCATAAGGGACTTTTGGTGCTCTAAGAAGTTTGGGCCAGCATCTGAATCTGCTAGCTAAGAAGCTTTTCTGTGAGTTCAAGGCTCACATCTGTGCTTAGCTTCCTTCTCCCCTCCTCCCTCCCACCCCTTAATTTTTACTTGTTGCTCTTTTCCCAAATCCCATCCTCAAAAACCCAGAAATGGCGTTCCTTTCCTGTGTGTCTTGACCCCCCAATTCCCAGCCTGTATCCAGTTACGTTTCTTTCTTCCTGATTTAATACCTTTGGCTTCTGTTGTGCTCAGTCTGTGGTTCTCACACGGTTGAAATGTCACTTTCATGTCGTCCTCCCTTGTCTTTTCCACCCTGAGCCAGCAGGACAAGTCAGGAATTAAACATAACTTTGCACTCCTTGGGTTTGAAATCAATGAAAAGGGGATTTCGTTTGCTGCCGGTGTCTCAGTCTGCCCTCCCGTCCTTTTCCACCGTTCTTTCACTTCTTGCTCTCCTGTACAAAATTCACTCTCTTTGAACCCGGCAAAGCTGGTCTATCCAGATCTAGAAGAGCTGAGAAAAAGCTTAGAATACCTGTAGGGCAGGGCTGGCCCACTCCGTTGCGTTTCCTTCAAGAGGTTTTGGTAGGTAAGCAAACCTTCAGAAATTTTAAACTAGCAGGGCCACCTGAAGAAAACCAAACCCGGGCCCTTCTACCTGGTTTGTCCCCGGGAGCGTAGCCACCATTCCCTCCGTTTCTCACCCTTAGTTCTAAAGGGCAGTCATTCACCCTGACTCCCAAGCCAGGAACCGTGAGTTTCCTCATCATTGCAGAATTGAGGTTTGCAGTTAAGTGAGAAGAAGTCAGAGGATGTTGGTACGAAAACTCAGAAAGGGGATCGGCTTCCTTCCAAGATTGCTCTGAGCTTATCCGAGATGGTTGCCCAGCCATCTGATCCTAACTGTTGATTATTTTTCCCTCCCCACCGCAGAACTTTCTACCGCTTTGAGGCTGTCTGGGACAGCTCCCTGCATAACTCCCTTCTTTTGAACCGGGTGACGCCCTACTCTGAGAAGATATACATGACCCTCTCGGCTTACTTGGAGGTGAGGTTGCATCTTCTGGTCTCACAGCTTCAGTCTGTGGCGGAAGGAGAAGCGCGAGTTCTCTAAATAACAGGGACCCCTTTCTTTAAGTTTGATAGGCCATTTTTTTTTTAATTTTTGCCTCGTATCTGTGCAGCCCTAACTAATCCTTGGGCAGCGACCAAAAACAAACTCACAGAATAAAATGAGCCAACTCAGCCAGAGGGACATAATAGCAGCAACCTGACCGAACTGCGGACAGAGATTTCTAACCCGGACTACGGAATTCCTCAGTGAAGCAGGAATTTCAATTTCCTTTTTTATTTTTTAATTTAGAACTTCTAAAATAATGAACAAGAAAATCACTGGCCAGAATTAGGCTCTTGTAAGTCCAGAATGTGGCACCGAGGGAGGCTTATTTCTCACGAAGATGACCATTTGTGATTGGTCTGGATTGTTGCATGTGGTACCTCCTTCTTCCGTAGGCGAGAAACTAGAAAGCGAGTCGCTCAGGAATAAGAGCTTGCGATCACTCCCTGATGTGCTAACTTTCTTTCCTGCGGGGAATCTCTTTGGTATTCAGTCGATAAATCCCTCCCTGCGTTGTGTAATCTCAAACTAGGAGTTAGGGACTTTAGGAACCTTTAAGAACCAGTGAAATCAATCAAACTTTGATATTTTTATGCTTATCTAGAATGCTACTCATTTCTAATTTTTGTTTTCTACCCGAAAGCTCAAAACTAGCCAAGATTAAGACGTTTGTCCAATTACTTAACAGTCTGTAGTTCTAGAGCTCTGAGAAGTACATATTTGGCCTTTATAAAGTGCATATTTGACTTTTTAGAGTGTTATTTCCTAAGGGACGGATGTCATTCCTCTTCCTGTTAAGGGAGTTCATATGATTTTAAATAGAGGGGTAAATTCTGATCCAAAGAAAATTGTTCCATCTGTCATTCCATATAGAGCTGGGATGTTCAGCCTTGGCAATTTTTTAAGACTTGTAGACTTCAGCAGCCCAGGCTGGGGAATTCTGGGAGTTGAAGTCTTCATCTTGCCAAAATTTGGACCCCCGTGATATAGAGAATAATAAGTCTGGAGCTAGAAGTATGCGTGTTCATTTCCACTTGTGCCAAAGAGAGCCGAAATGTTTGCTAGTACGTTGCCCATCATCAGTGGTGGAAGTGATCCAGCTGTTCCTTCCCTTCCAGCTGGATCACTGCATCCAACCAGCCGTCATCACCAAGGACATCTGCATGGTCTTCTACTCGCGAGATGCTAAGATTTCGCCCCCCCGCTCACTGCGGAGTCTCTTTGGACGTGGCTACTCCAAGTCCCCAGATTCGTAAGTCAGATCATTCCCCCGCGGCAGTCGAGGGCCATGAGACACATGGATTAAACGCGGTGGGCAGGCTGGTTTGTGGACGGCCTAGTTGGCTGTGTCTCTTGCTGTCTTACGAACCTCCTCGTAAAATTTCAAAAGATTGCTTTGAGTTGGTTCTTGGAAATCTTCAAAGCAGAGGACTCTGATTTCAGGATGACCAGGAATAAGTCAAATATTCCTTCACTTGAGAACGAAGGTGTTCCTCTGTACATGATAAAAATATATATTTGTTACAAGACAAATGTATGAGCCGTGGGGGCACAGTGGTTAGAGTGCAGTACTGCAGGCTGCTTCTGTTGACTGCTGGCTGACGGCAGTTTGGCAGTTCGAATCTCCCAAGGCTCTCAAGGTTGACTCAGCCTTCCGTCCTCCCGAGGTCAGTAAAATGAGGACCCAGATGGTTGGGGGCAAAAGGCTGCCTCTGCAAACCACTTAGAGAGGGCTGGAAAGCACTGTGCAGCAGTATACAAGTCTAAGTGCTATTGCTACAAGAGCCATGATGGTGCAGTGGTTAGAATGTGGCATTGCAGGCTAACTCTGCCGACTGCCAGCAGTTCAATCCTTATTGTCTCAAGGTGGACTCAGCCTTCCGTCCTTCCGAGGTGAATAAAACGGGGACCCGGATTGTTTGAGGGGCAAGAGGCCGACTCTGTAAACCGCTTAGAGAGGGCTGTAAAAACACTGTGAAGTGGTATATAAGTCTAAGGGCTATTGCTGTGATGAATTAACTCTTGACATGGACCAATGTAATGATTCTTGAAGAGCTTCACCCTTTCCCGAGACTGCCTTGTTTTCTCAAATTATCGTTTTTTTTCCCCCCTGCCTCCCTCTTTGCAAGCAGCAACCGAATAACCGGGATCTACGAGTTGAGCTTGTGCAAAATGGCTGACACCGGAAGCCCAGGTCAGAAGACCCTCCTTTTTTTTTTAATATGCCCGTCCCCACCACAAAAAAAGAAAGAAAGAAAGAAAGAAAGAAAGAAAGAAAGAAAGAAAGAAA